TTTCATTGTTGCAGATAAACTATTATATAATAGCCTTCCATGCGAAATTTTCATTATGAATGAAAAATGATATCTTCCTTTCTCTTAAATCATATAGGTGGTCTTCCATGCAAATTTGAAGGCATTATGGAATCACCAGTCGTTGATGGATACCGGAACAAATGTGAGTTCTCGGTGGGTTATTCATTACAGGGAAAGCGAACCGTGGGGTTTATGCTTGGAAATTTTAGGTCAGCTTGCTCCCATTGCCTAACTGTTAAAATGAAGCATATCCATACTATTTTTTGATGTTTTTAATCTGGAAATTTCAGAGAAGGTGTGACAGCAGTAGAGGAACCAGTTAATTGCCCAAATGTCTCCAGAATCTCTTGCAAATATGCAGTTATATTTCAAAACTTTCTGCAATCATCCGTTTTTCCTGTTTGGGACAGAATTAATAACACTGGATTTTGGCGGCAATTTACGGTACACTGCGATCTGTCCTATTAAAGATTTACAGTTGAAGAATTATTTCATAAGATGGGTTCAGGATTTGCTGTTCATTTTTATGAAATTTCATTGTTTTATATATAAATGATCGTCTGGATCTTTCTTGTTAATTGTGAATATGACAAAGAAATTCACAAAGTTGAGGTGAATATTAGGTGCGAGAGGGAAGAAATCCAGGGCAAGCTGATCTACATGAGAACCCAGAAACTCAAATTGCGGAAGTCATGCTTATAATTCAGGTTTACTTCTAATAGAAACATATCGAGATTTCATGTGTTTCAGCACTTTTCTTGAACTTGTGCAAGGATATGAACTTAACCATCGGGCGAAGTTTAACTTTGTTACATATTTGCATGTTATGTGTATAAAAATGGATTAACTATTAAGTGCTCTTAATCTTTCGTTTTCTATTTGGCCTACTCTACAGGTTTGCTCACTAGATGTTGCTGATGAACAAATGAAAATTGAATTCACAAGAATGGCACAGGCTTTTGCACAAGGTGCAGCTTCATGTTCACCTCCACTCCCTCTCACGACAATAGTAGTGCAGGTCGGTTTCTAGACTTAGGGTGCTCTTTTAGTGTGTTTATTAGTTCTAGAATCTTTTTGGTGCTCGATTGATTTGGTGCATCTTCATATATGCCACAAGGCTCACAACCTATGGCATAAATCAAGGTCGGTAAACAACTTAATTCTGACTTATTTTATTAGCATGTTCTTTTAATTGTGTTTGTTGGTTCTAGACTATATTTGGTTCTCAGTTGATTGGTGCATCTATACTTCTTGTTTTTTAGCTTTTCTATTAAATTTGTATCACATTACTTTAGTTTCATTTTACCCCATTGCTAGGTGTTCAAACAAAAAATGTTTCAAGTAGTAGTGGACAGATTTATTAGGGAATCTAACAAATTTGGATGATATCAAATTGAAATCTGTTTGAAACTTTGGATATCAAAGTATTGAAAGAACACTTTCGGTATCAAAATGAAAAATGGGTAAACTTTGGGGGCACCAAAGGGAAAATAAGCCATAGCTTAATTCTGACTTATTTTATTATCATGTTCTTTTAATTGTGTTTAGTTCTGAACTTTTTTTGGTCCTCTGTTGATTTGGTGCGTCTTATGTACTACTCATTTTTCATAAATCGTTGGAAACATTGGATGCGACCACATCTTCTAAGTGCAATAGGTTAAACCATCCTTGTTGACTCATGATATTTTCCTATCTGATTGACAGTTTCCTTTTTCATAAAACCCTGATCCTGGCCCATAGCATGCCCATGACAGTTTCTAATTGTAAGAACAATGACATTGCTATGTCTTACTAGGTTGTTGATTGAATTTTTTTGTCGAAACCTTTACAGATCATCTTTATTGATTTAGTTAGTATCTGTACATGGGATTTATGATGATTATGCTTACGTCACATGTTTATGTTATCGAACAAATTATTGTTCGTCTCACAGGATCATAAAGGAATTTCAAATGCTGCGCCAGCTGACTGTCCGCTGCTGTCGTTACCAATACCAAATATGAACGGAGATTCTTCTCCAGGAAAATCAGGTGCCATGGAAGCAAGAATACATGATTATATAAGCAATCTCCGCTTCTCTTTATCACCGACAGCCTTTTTTCAAGTCAGATAACTGTTATTTTCTGCTTTTTCCCCCTTGGATAAAGGTTCATTTTGTCAATGGCTCACAAGATTATACAGGTTAATACTCTTGCTGCAGAGAGATTATACTCCCTTGCTGGTGATTGGGCAGAGTTATGTCCAGATACATTGCTCTTTGACATATGCTGTGGGACAGGAACAATTGGCTTGACCTTAGCACATCGTGTTGGCATGGTAACCTCATGAACATGAGTTGGATATTCAATTTCCTTATAACTAGTATCATTACAATTGTATTTCACCTACATTTAGCCATTTATCACCAAGTACTCTTCAAGGTTCAAATAGATTATAATAATATCTTTGATGAAAATGGTGGGTACAAGCATCCTGCATGTCAAGGTTTTTATCAAAGATTGATAACAAATTTCAAGAATGTGACCAACTTAGTGAGATTAAAATTTCCGCGTGTTGACATAGGAGTACTCATGGACTAGCTGGGAATTTCAAGAACAAAAGTTGTTCTTTTTTCTTCATATTATTTTGAAACTTCATATCTTCTCAGAAGTATGAATAACATTTGTTTAAGGTCTCATTGATAATTGTTCTTGCCACTACTCCTCACTCCCCTATTTTCTGCTATAATGTTTTCCTTCTTCCCTTTTGTGGTTTTCCCAGGTTATTGGTGTTGAGATGAATGAATCAGCAGTGGAAGACGCACAGAGAAATGCACAGATCAACAGTATAGATAATTGCAAGTTTGTATGTGGAAAGGTGAGATTTAGATGGCGTTTGGGAAGACTTATTTTTTTAAGCTTTTAAGTTACTAGCTTTTAGTGGCTTTCAGCTTTTTAGATAAAAATGCTATAAAAATTATTTTTATAGAATAGTAATTTATTTGATCAAACCTAGCTTTTTTAAATGAGCTTATAAGCTAGTTTTTCAAAAGCTGGGGTATACCAGCATTTTAAAACGAGACTTATAAGCTAATAAGCTAACTTATTAGGCATTTTATCAAACAGGTAAAAATGAAAAAAAACTAGATTTAAAGCTAGTTTGACTGAAAAATAAGCCTCCCCAAATACCCTCTTACTGAGAATTAAAAATGTGATCTCATTTTCTAGGCATTGAATTCCATAAAATGTAGGGCTTATTAAAAAAGTTCTGTTAATCTCATTTTTTAGGCATTGAATTCCATAAAATGTAGGGCTTCCAAGGCAACCTCCATATGTGGAAAGTATATGAAGACTAAACTTTGTAAGCATAACTGCATAACTAATGCATGGAGTTTGGCAAACCTAGGGTTATAGCTCCAATCTAGGCATCCCAGTCACAAGGTTACCTCTTTTTATGCATATGGGAGCATCAGATTTTCACAGCCTTAGTGCCCGACTATGATCTTTTTTCATGACTTGGACAATCGGAACTGTGAACTCAAGGTCGCAGTGAACGAACCATGTTGTTGTACTGACTACTGAGGCTTGCCCTTAAACCATCAGATAATAACTAACCTTCTAAATTTAGCCAGTAATTTGGTCTTAAATTATAATATTTTTATGCATTACAGTAGTTAGATGACTTGATATTAATGGCTAGATCATTTTGCAATAGCATAAATATCATTTCTTAAAAATAGGTTTATTCGTAACAAGCACAAAGCAAAGCGAAAAGCAAACTCTTGGAAACATTCCTATCTTATATGTTCATGAAATAATCGATATTTGAAGGGGAAAAAGAGTAGAAAGGACAATGTACTACCTTGGATTTTAGTATTTGTTGGTCAAAGCACTCCATTTCCATGTGCATTCACAGTGTTGTATCAACTGTATCAATCAGTCAATGAGACATTGTAATTCTATACAGCAATTATTGAGTTACCAAATTATTGAATCAGATTTTATACTTTAAATGGCTTCGTATTTATTAGCTGCTATGTACTGCCAACCTGAAAAACCTACCATCGTGTATCTTTAGAAAGAAAGAAGTATTTAATGGAAGCTCCGTTGTGAAAAGTACTAACCTTGTGAGATATTGAAAATTATTGCTGATTTATCATGTTTACTATAAATTACTTTGCAATTAGGATGTTAGTGCTTCTCTCAGATTATTCTGATGAGTCAATTGCTTTCTGCTTGTTAACTTGGGGAGGTGGCAGGCTGAGGATGTTATAGGTGCACTACTAAGGGAATATCTAGGTGTAGCACAGCAGCGGGGTGATGCTTCTGCTGTTTCTGGAAGCAACAACGTAAAAGAAGATGCAAATGGAAGTAATAGCACCAAAACTGAAAAGCTCTTGGTTGATGAAGATGCTCCAGTGGATGCTCATGCTGCTAATTCTAGTGTGGAGGTGGAGAAACACCTGTGTGAAAGATCAATAACTTTGGGAGTGTCAGAGAATTTGGATGGAGAAAACACAACAAATTCTAATAAAGATTGTGACAATAATGATTCGATAGCAGATGAAAGTTCAAACCATGAAATTATAGTCACTAACAGCTCAACAAATTTTTTGAAAAGCTGCACAGAGTGTAGGCCCGCAAGTCAAGGAAATAAAGAGTGCACAGATGTAAATCAAGACATTCTGAAGTTCACTGACACAAATAAACAGAATGGTGAATGCAAAGAGACATCTCATGATGGCCACATTTCCGAAGAGAAGGGAATAAAAGATGCTCCTGCTTGTCATTTTAAGGACATTGTTGCCATTGTTGACCCTCCACGAGTTGGACTTCACCCTACTGTAAGTATTGGTCATTGTAAATCTTTGTTGCTCTAGTTCTTATCATGACAAGCCTAGTAGTTCTTTAGACATATATTTCACAGTGTTTTAGCCATTTATACTTGAGGCATTCTAGAAATTAGGCCAATGCTTTGCAAACTACTAGTAATGTGAAAACTTCTGAATGGCAAGTCAGCTGTTCCTTAAATAGTTTAGAAGTTCAAATCAAGCTGTTACATTGAAGTTAACCCTGATGTATCATACGTTGTTGAATCATGCAAATCTCATCCAGTAGGCTACTCAGTTAATCATTTTGCAGGTTAATTCTGCCTAGTGTCAAGATCTACACTATGTTTTTTTTAATAATTTAAATTTTGGAAGATTTTTTGAGGTCCCTGAGGTTTTCCTCCTGACATCAATCCCTTTACCCCTTGATTGAATCTCTTAGCCTGGAAATTTATGTATTTAATGACAAAAAGTCCTCAATTCTAAGATAGTTAGACTGAAAAGATAGTATAGTTTAGCAGAATATTATTTCTTCATGGCATCAAGATCTACAAAAAGTTTTCAATTTTTTTTTCATAATATAAATTTCAGTTTTTTTTGGTCCAAGGCTGTCCTGACATCAATTCCTTTTCCCCTTGGTTGAATCTCTTAGCCTGGAAATTTATGTATTTAATTTCGAAAAGTCTTTAATTGTAAGATTGATAGAGTGAAAAAATTGTATAATTTAGCAGAGGATTCATTGTTTATGGTGTAGAGAGGTTTAAATGTTGTATTATTGATTTCAGCGAAATTGAAGTAATGCTTGAAGAATTTGTGAAAATTGTCACAAGTTTCCGTTGAAACTTACAATAGCTTTTGGATTATTTGGATACTAGTCCTCATTATATCATATTTTGAGATTAGTCCCCAAATCAATGAAATTGCTATCAGGTCCCCCATGTCATATAAGTTCAAATTTTGCCCCCCCCCCCAACTCCAAAAAAAAAAAAACTATAATTGGGAATATTCCCCCAATTATACCCTTTTTAATCAAACCCTAATCTAATTTGGGGCCGGAGAGGGATTTTGATGTTTTTCTTTTTGGGGGCAACAGAGAGGGGGAGAACATATATACCCTTCTTAGAGAAGGGAAAACTGATGTTTGGGTGGCTGGAGTTATTTAATGAGGATGGTTTGGTAATTACCATCCATAGTTGAGCAATGGCCCAACTATGGTTAGCAGATTGAATGGAATTTGCAACGGAGAGACTAATTTCAAACATCTTATATGATTTGGGGGACCTAATAACAATTTCAAATTTTCAATGATTTGGGGGACCTAATAACAATTTCAATGATTTGAGGGGCTAATCTTAAGATTTGAGGGAGTTATATCGAAGCAACCCAAAAACTATACCGAACAGAAGATTATGTCTCATGTAGCCAACCCGAAAAAATTAGGATAAAAGCTTTGTTGTTGTTATCTGTTTAAAAATATACCATGGTCCTTTTGACGGCATATTTCAACCGCAATGTCAAATATGATCACTGTTTGATTTTTATGGAAACACTGACCGCGTGTCTTGCAGGTGATTAAAGCGCTGAGGACACATCCACGCATAAGGCGACTTGTGTAAGTCCTGGATCTATCCTTCTACCACTTATTGGCTTTTTATTCAACTTGCCCTCTCTCTGTGGATTGACACATGCTCATTTGTGTTTAATTTTGTTTTCATCAGCTACATCTCCTGCAATCCTGAAAGTCTAGTGGCAAATGCCATTGAGCTCTGCACTCCTACTTCTGATAAGTCGGAGAAAGGAAAGGGAAACAGGGGATGGAGGAGCATGAGTGCAGCTGGTTTGGCTCGGCACAGGACCAAGTCTATGCCCTCCTCAGAGCCCTTCCGGCCGGTCAGAGCCATGGCTGTCGATCTATTTCCCCATACTCCACACTGTGAGATGGTAATGCTGCTTGAGAGGTAAAAGAGCATCATCATCCGTACTTAACTGGAGATGTTGCTTGTGATAAAGCTCACCAGTTGTAGGATTGAATCATCTCCTTGGCTTCCCATGCCTTAGCGCGTGGTGATATATTCTTTATGCCCACCAAGAGAGCTCATCCGCATTTGTAGGTTTCCAAATTTTGCTCTATCAAAGCCTTCTAGTAATTATTTAGCCTTTGTAACATTTAATATTTTATATTGCTCCTTCATTTTACTACGAGGGTCGCGTCATGTATCATCTCGTTCACAATAATGAAGTAACTTCCAAAAGTTTGATAGTTTATTACTACGTCCATGATTTGAGATGTTGGATGGAACTTGATTTATGTTCCTTAACAACCAAAATGCAGGATATCATGAGAAAACCATGATTATTTTTCCCTCTTGTCTTGCCTTGCCTTGCAAGACTGATCAAATGTTTGTGAATATAGCAGCTGAATTCGGTTAGCAGATTCTCCCGTGGCAGCGAGTGAGATAAGAATGCACCCGCTCGTTAACATCACGCGTCGCCACCACCCATTCGTCTCATCATCCTGTTCTTTGCTCAGAAGCTTTTTTATTTATATTGCAAGACAGAACCACACCCACAACGATGATGTTCTGAGAACATTAGGTCTGAAACTGACTAAATTTGGTGCCACGTGTGTTTACGGTAAATTACGGGAGAGGAGAATGCGGGTGGTGCTTGTTAGGGACGGGCGGGGACCGACGATTTCCCTCCGACACCGATTCCCGAGTGCATGCTCAAATCAACCTTGGTATCGATGATAAAATAAAAAGTCCTATTCAACATTACTACGCTGTTTGTTCAATATAATCTTTTTTTTTTAAATATTTCCCTAAGATAAATTTAAATTTTGATTATGCAAATCTCAAACCTATTCCACATTCTCGGTTCTTCCTCCTAAAAGATCCAAGATTAACGTAGCCATTGGAATCTCTACCTAACTCTTTATCTGAAATCATTTTTTCTCTGCCTACGGAGAAGAGATCTTAATAAACAATATTCCTCAAGTATTTAATAAAAGCTAAGTAAGTGTTTGTTGAAAAGCTTATTATTAGTTAAATGCGCCTCATCATTAGCGGAAGGATCCTCTCTCTCTCTCTCTCTCTCTCTCTCTCTCTCAGCTGCTGACAATAATAACTAATTAGATCCTCTCTCTCTCTCTCTCTCTCTCTCTCTCTCAGCTGCTGACAATAATAACTAATTTACATACTCACGAGTCACAAACTGATAAAATGATCGAGGGGGATCGAAAAAGACGAACTTTTATCTACATTCGTTAAAACTAGAGCGGAATTAATCAGCTCCCATACTTCACTTGCCAAAGATCAATATCATTTCCACAACGACAGACGTATAACCTCAATCTTAATACTAGCAGCTCGTATAATATAAATCGATCACCAGGGGAAAATAATTTTTTTTTAAGAACACAGTATTAAAGAAGGGAACTAGGATCACCGATCGCGAGCACCGCGCATCATGGATCTGTACAAACCATGATAATAAACTTAAACTAGCCGAATCAAATATTAAGAGGAAAACAGGAGGTCAGGTCATGATACAAATCAAATCATATTATCTAATAATAAAATCCTCCAATATCTAACAACATATAAGATCCTCCAACAAAAAAAAAAGAAAAAAAGAATAGACGAGTGCGGTACATTATAATGTTTTTTTCCCCTCCCCTACAAAGAATTCGATCTGAATTAAGCAACAAATATATATCACCCACCTCCGATAATTCTCGCTGGCTGCGTGTCTATTAGATCATCTCCATCATCCTGGCGTTGTAACCGAACCTGGATCGCCTGATATTCTCCTGCATACTAAAGCCCTATAAAAAAAATTAGTATCATGCTAAAGGAATCACACAATAATGGAAACGGGTCCTAGATATCCCAGGCTGCAAAATAAACAGAAGTAGCCAAAGAACCTAAGCCTTCCTTAATACCGAAGCAGCACCACAGGTATTGCAGACTAGATATGTAATCCCTATTTGTCATAACTTCAATTCTCATAAAAAAGAAGTACTTGATGAATGTTATAACTTATTACCAGCTCCGTCGCCGGCGCACGAGGTCCAGAAGTCGGCGGCGGATCTGGCGGGAGAAAGCTCGGGGGAAGAGAGCGGCGGATCGGAAGGTGGAACGAGAGACCGGGGAAGGAGACGGTGGTGTCTGCGCAGGTCCATCAGCGCCGGCCAAAGGAGACGGATCTGACGGCGATCTGGAGAGGAGGTGAGGAAGAGAAGGAGAAGAGGAAGCAACGCCGCCGCCGCCGCCATTGATGATGATGCTTCTACTGACTAAGACTTGCTGCTGCGGTCAAAATAATAAGGAGACGACGGAGGGATCTGAGGAGCAGCAGATCTAGAAGAGAGACTGGTGGGAGGCGAGCATCTATAGAGAGAGAGAGAGAGTAAGGTTACCGCTTATTATATATATAGAATGACAGCTGTAGAGGAGGGGGTAAAAGATCGCGGAGATTAAGATTTAAGCGGTGCGCTTATTATATATATATAGAAGTTGTTGCGATTCTCTTGCGAAGACGGTAGGATGCTAAATAAAGTGATATTTAGAAAGCTTGATGGCTAAGGGATGCTGTTGATTCTTTCCCCTTCTTAAGTTACTTATTTCATTTTTCTTTTAATTTATGTACTATTAATTATTTTGAGTGATGACGATGGACAGGACAAAATATAGACGCGGTCCTCCACTCGGGCTGTCGCTTCTATGCGTAATTTCCTGTTTAGCTAAATGCTAGCTGTTTAATTATGATTACTTGCGACTTTATCAAGCTTTAGGAAAATTGAATTATAGTATTTTAATATATTAGTTTCTTTAACCAAATCGCTTTGCTTAATCCTTTTTATTAATTAAATCGTAAATTTACAGCCCCACGTAGCAATCTAGCATAACAACAAGATCACCGGATCAAAAGAAAAAAGTTGTAAAAAATGAGTCCGGACCTTGACCCATGCATAGGAAGACAAAATTGTGTTCGTAGATAGGATTGTGACGAGCCCAATTGAGTGCGGTTTTAGGATTTAGAAAATGAGCCCTGACCTTTTTCTCCTACTTCGCTCATTTATTAAGAAATCCCGATTTCCCTGCTATTCTCGTTAATTATTAGAATTGAAAGATATATATATATATATATATATATAGGGAGAGGTTTAAATAAAAACCTCACTATCCTAAAAACTAAAAACCAATCCTCTCCATTGGATCTAGATTCATCCAATGGCTGAGATTAAAGCTGCATAAGGGTAATTAGGTAAAATAAACAGCCCACTAAAGAGAGGTAATTAATGCTTCTCTGTTGAGTTCTCCATTTCCCCATGCAACTCTCTCTCTCTCCAAAATCACATCAACTCTCTCTCTGTCTTCAACATCTCTTTTCTTCAACCTTCGTCTTCTTCAACCTCTCTCTCTCTCCAAAATCACAACAACTCTCTCTTCTTCAACCTTCGTCCTCATGGTTTATGAAATTATTTTGACGCTTCGTCTTCACGGTCTTCTTCAACCTTCGTCTTCATGATTCAGTGGGCTGTTAAATTATTTTGACGCTTTAATGGTAAGTTTATAAAATTTGTTTGATTTTTCGTCTAAAATTTTTAGTTTTAACCTTAAAGATCGTAACTTTTTGTTGTAAAAGGTGAAATATTTCACCTTTTAGTCTGAAAAGTTTTTTGTTTTTTGAAGAAACCAGTTAAAAAACGAAGACACGCAGAAGTGAATCTAGATTCACTGCAGTGAATCTCGATTCACATCAGTGAATCCAGATTTAGTATGTGAGGTGTTTGTTTTTTACCATAAAAATCGTAATTTTTTGCATAAGTGAATCTAGATTCACTGCAGTGAATCTCGATTCACAGCAGTGAATCCAGATTCAGTATGTGAGGTGTTTGTTTTTACCATTAAAATTGTAATTTTTTGCTGTAAAAGATGAAATCTTTTCATGGTTTAAAATTTTATAGCTTGTTTTTTACCATAAGTTTCTTATTCTTTTTGTTTAAAATTTTATAGCTTGTTTTTCACCATAAGTTTCTTATTCTTCAATATAATCCAGATTCAATGGAGTGAATCCAGATTCACTGGAGTGAATCCAGATTCACTGGAGTGAATCCAGATTCACTGGAGTGAATCCAGATTCACTGGAGTGAATCCAGATTCACTGGAGTGAATCCAGATTCACTGGAGTGAATCCAGATTCACTGGAGTGAATCCAGATTCACTGGAGTGAATCCAGATTCACTGGAGTGAATCCAGATTCACTGGAGTGAATCCAGATTCACTCCAGCGAAAGCTTGGATGGTTAGGATGGTTTTTAATGAATTGTTGAAGAAATAAATGCATGTGCTGTAATTTCGAAGAAATAAACGCATGAGTGAATCTAGATTCACTACAGTGAATCCAGATTCAGTTATGTGAGGTGTTTGTTTTTTACCATAAAAATCGTAACTTTTTGCTGTAAAATGTGAAATCTTATCATGGTTTAAAATTTTATAGCTTGTTTTTTACCATAAGTTTCTTATTCTTTTTGTTTTTTATTTTTGTAGATTTGCTATTGTTTGATAACGAGTTCAGTCTACTGAATCTGGATTCAATTCAGTGAATCTGGATTCACTCCAATGAATCGAGCTTCAATATAATCTAGATTCAATGGAGTGAATCCAGATTCACTGGAGTGAATCCAGAGTCACTGGAGTGAATCCAGATTCACTCCAGCGAAAGCTTGGATGGGAGGAGCTCGGATCTGGGTTGTTTGAAGGTGGCGAAGGAGATGGAGAGGAGGTTGACGGCGTCGGGTCTGAGGGAGCGTCTTCGGTTCGTCAGAGCGGCTTCGGTTCGTCGGAGGGAGCTCAGGGGCAGTGGAGTTGGAGGAGCTCGGTGAGGAGTTAGTGGTGTTTGTGGTGGTGAGAGAGAGGAAGAGAGAGGGGGCTGGTTCAAGCTTTTGGGAAATGGAGGAGAGAGAGAGGAGAACGTGAGAGGAAATTTGTCTATAATGTAAGAGAGAGTATTAAAGGACGTGTATTAAATTTGTATCATTGTTCCAATGTAATCAGTCACCATTAATGCAATGAATTGTTCCAATTTTACCCTTTTCACATTAATGATGTGTATTAAATTTGTCTATATTTACAATTCTGCCATCGAAATCTAGGCCATTGGATTAGATAGATTGGAGGGTTAGGATAGGTTTTTAGTTCTCTAGGTTTTTATTAGAACCTCTCCCTATATATATATATATATATACACTGGAGTGAATCCAGATTCACTGGAGTGAATCCAGATTCACTGGAGTGAATCCAGATTCACTGGAGTGAATCCAGATTCACTGGAGTGAATCCAGATTCACTGGAGTGAATCCAGATTCACTGGAGTGAATCCAGATTCACTGGAGTGAATCCAGATTCACTGGAGTGAATCCAGATTCACTGGAGTGAATCCAGATTCACTGGAGTGAATCCAGATTCACTGGAGTGAATCCAGATTCACTGGAGTGAATCCAGATTCACTGGAGTGAATCCAGATTCACTGGAGTGAATCCAGATTCACTGGAGTGAATCCAGATTCACTGGAGTGAATCCAGATTCACTGGAGTGAATCCAGATTCACTGGAGTGAATCCAGATTCACTGGAGTGAATCCAGATTCACTGGAGTGAATCCAGATTCACTGGAGTGAATCCAGATTCACTGGAGTGAATCCAGATTCACTGGAGTGAATCCAGATTCACTGGAGTGAATCCAGATTCACTGGAGTGAATCCAGATTCACTGGAGTGAATCCAGATTCACTGGAGTGAATCCAGATTCACTGGAGTGAATCCAGATTCACTGGAGTGAATCCAGATTCACTGGAGTGAATCCAGATTCACTGGAGTGAATCCAGATTCACTGGAGTGAATCCAGATTCACTGGAGTGAATCCAGATTCACTGGAGTGAATCCAGATTCACTGGAGTGAATCCAGATTCACTGGAGTGAATCCAGATTCACTGGAGTGAATCCAGATTCACTGGAGTGAATCCAGATTCACTGGAGTGAATCCAGATTCACTGGAGTGAATCCAGATTCACTGGAGTGAATCCAGATTCACTGGAGTGAATCCAGATTCACTGGAGTGAATCCAGATTCACTGGAGTGAATCCAGATTCACTGGAGTGAATCCAGATTCACTGGAGTGAATCCAGATTCACTGGAGTGAATCCAGATTCACTGGAGTGAATCCAGATTCACTGGAGTGAATCCAGATTCACTGGAGTGAATCCAGATTCACTGGAGTGAATCCAGATTCACTGGAGTGAATCCAGATTCACTGGAGTGAATCCAGATTCACTGGAGTGAATCCAGATTCACTGGAGTGAATCCAGATTCACTGGAGTGAATCCAGATTCACTGGAGTGAATCCAGATTCACTGGAGTGAATCCAGATTCACTGGAGTGAATCCAGATTCACTGGAGTGAATCCAGATTCACTGGAGTGAATCCAGATTCACTGGAGTGAATCCAGATTCACTCCAGCGAAAGCTTGGATGATTAGGATGGTTTTTAATGAATTGTTGAAGAAATAAATGCATGTGCTGTAAGTTCGAAGAAATTTTTTGCTGTAAAAGGTGAAATCTTTTCATGGTTTAAAATTTTATAGCTTGTTTTCTACCATAAGTTTTTTATTCTTTTTGTTTAAAAATTTATAGCTTGTTTTTTACCATAAGTTTCTTATTCTTCAATATAATCCAGATTCACTCCAGCGAAAGCTTGGATGGTTAGGATGGTTTTTAATGAATTGTTGAAGAAATAAATGCATGTGCTGTAAGTTCGAAGAAATAAACGCATGAGTGAATCTAGATTCACTGCAGTGAATCCAGATTCAGTTATGTGAGGTGTTTGTTTTTTACCATAAAAATCGTAACTTTTTGCTGTAAAATGTGAAATCTTATCATGGTTTAAAATTTTATAGCTTGTTTTTTACCATAAGTTTCTTATTCTTTTTGTTTTTTATTTTTGCAGATTTGCTATTGTTTGATAACGAGTTTCAGTCCACTGAATCTGGATTCAATTCAGTGAATCTGGATTCACTCCAATGAATCGAGCTTCAATATAATCCAGATTCAATGGAGTGAATCCAGATTCACTCCAGCGAAAGCTTGGATGGTTAGGATGGTTTTTAATGAATTGTTGAAGAAATAAATGCATGTGCTGTAAGTTCGAAGAAATAAACGCATGAGTGAATCCAGATTCAGTTATGTGAGGTGTTTGTTTTTTACCATAAAAATCGTAACTTTTTGCTGTAAAATGTGAAATCTTATCATTGTTTAAAATTTTATAGCTTGTTTTCTACCATAAGTTTCTTATTCTTTTTGTTTAAAAATTTATAGCTTGTTTTTTACCATAAGTTTCTTATTCTTCAATATAATCCAGATTCAATGGAGTGAATCCAGATTCACTGGAGTGAATCCAGATTCACTGGAGTGAATCCAGATTCACTCCAGCGAAAGCTTGGATGGTTAGGATGATTTTTAATGAATTGTTGAAGAAATAAATGCATGTGCTGTAAGTTCGAAGAATTTTTTTGCTGTAAAAGGTGAAATCTTTTCATGGTTTAAAATTTTATAGCTTGTTTTCTACTATAAGTTTCTTATTCTTTTTGTTTAAAAATTTATAGCTTGTTTTTTACCATAAGTTTCTTATTCTTTAATATAATCCGGATTCACTGGAGTGAATCCAGATTCACTCCAGCGAAAGCTTGGATGGTTAGGATGGTTTTTAATGAATTGTTGAAGAAATATCGCGCGGGGCTTGGGATGGTTGAGCGATAATTTTTAATTTGAATTTTGCTTGTGTATACTTCATCGAAGATGGAAGATCAGAATCTGAGCTAGAGATGGGATAGTGAGTTTACAGAGAGCTATTATATAATGCACGTGTTGCTATTACAAGAGATAGCTCGTAATGACCAGCGTCTGTTGGCTTAAAAGAGAGTATTACAAGGACGTGCCTTGGCATTTAATGTAAGTGCATTATTCCAATTAATTGCAGTTGAATTGTTATCCAAATGTTGCCAGCCCCGATTTTTGAAATGCTGTGAATTGTGTCCAATTTTACCCTTTTTTACACGCCTGGATGTGGCTATTTAATGTGTTCTATATTTCAATTCATGCAGCGAAGAGAGACCCAGCGCGCACATACCGTCTGCCCCATGAAATATATTTGCCCATTGGGCATAGAATAGATTTAGTCGAGGTTGAGGCATTGCTATAGACTGATATGGTTTTTGAAGTTCTCTACGCGTCTTTATTGAGAACCTCTCCCTATACTATTATAGTATATATATATAGCTAATGACTAGTATATATATTATTCATATATAATCCTCTCTCACTATATCCGTACCTAGTAATACTACTATATTATTAGTACGTATAATAAATTATATATATTAGAGATGAGAAGACGACCGAAGGAGAGAAGTAGAGCAGAAACTTCTGGTCATACTATAAGTGCGTCCATTCAAAGTTTCTTAATCCAATGATGCATCACTTGATTGAGCCTACATTGTGGTATGATTCCGTTACCGCTGTTCAACTATGCATCTACACGATTCTCTAAACCCCAGCCCACACCAAATTATGAGGTGAAACACACGGTCGCTAGTTTCCGACATTTCATCCGAGCTGTATCAGATATTAACGCGTTTTTCGCAGTCGTTAATAGAACTAGGAACTTCTTGACACTTGGCTCGCACGGAGCGGTCAAAACCACATACCTGATTTCACCCCTCAGATTTGGTGATTATGTTGCGGGTTTAGAATATGTAGATCATAGTTTAAACGCGATGAGCGGACTCAGCTTCCACAATGCCTAGCCTCAATCAAGTGATCATCAATGGATAAGAAACTTAGTGGACGTCCACTTAAGTTGACAGAAGTTTTGCTCATATATATATTATATTTCCTAATGCTCTTTAAAATGGATATCCACAACTAGAAAAGTTCCTTGTTAGACAGGCTAACGCTCGTAGCTTAATTCCGAAAAAAGACCCAGGCTAATTAACGCACCTCATCACACGTTATCAATCAATCGTAGCTAAATTATGTGAGAAGCCTCCTAAAATGTAACTGTTAAAAATAAAGCCACAACCACGACCTTTTATGTCAATAATACATGTGAGGTGGTGTGGTGTGGTGTGAGGATCACACAACTCGATTTGCGAGAACACGCTTAGGTTCACATGATTGTATATATACTTTTTATTAGATATTCCACGTTGTTAGCTACGAGGCCTAATCTGTTGAAACGAAGCCAACAAACAAATTTTAAAACTAGATGCACTGACAAGAGGGTAAAGAATACTCCAACACTACGAACCAATCAAAGTAGTAAATGAGCCTCTACGTACTCTAGATGCAGGTAGGTTGCTCCAGTGGGAAAAAGCAATTTGGCGAATGCACGATAGCTTTGCTTGTTTTTGCTCCTTTATTTTGTCAAAAAACCATAGAGAGTTGAGAAAACCAGGCTTTCACTTTGAAACATAAAGAGGCTTTGACATTCATAATTATCTTGAGCCCCGCTACAGGTTTCTGGGACTTGATACCAGCAACCACGTCACCAGTGATTTTCGTGATCCTCCTACTCAAAAGTGTAAAATATCTTTCTAGCACCGAGGAAAGTCGAACGCTCCCTTGCATAGATTTCTCACATTTTTTTTTTTCGGTCGGTTGTAACAATAGATGAATTGCTTCTTTTCTCCGATGACTCACACAATAATATATCATGCTAGTTGATCTCCATGCTTCCGGTCTAATGTAATACCTCTATGCTAGCAAAATAAGGGATAGTAATCAGGGCGAAACATGAAAATGGAAGGTACCAGTCTAGAGGAATTTTGGTACAGCAATCAAATAGACATTTGTGGCATAGGGATAGACTGATTCAGTTATTTGCGGGTTACCTCCAACTTACTGAGATAAATTGACTTTGTTATCCAACAAGCATGATGAACTCAATACCGGAATACAACAGACAGATTCATCCATAAGAAAGAGGGGGCATTCCTTTATTTGATTGTCTGCCCGTCTCATCCTACATGGAGATTTCTCCTTATAGCAAACCGAGACACTGCTCAGTCAAAATTTCCCACATCAATATATTCTGGATTATACCACTTAGGGTTTGTAGATTTGGTGGTGTTGGTGTAGCAACTCTTCCTATTTGCCTAAATTACAACAAACACACAACCTCCATGTTAACCCTACAATTCATCTTTAGCACCTGTGCCTTCGCTCTTCTCACTCTTGGAGGAGGAATCAACATTGCCAGTGCCCTCAGTTTTTACTGCCGACTCAGGCTTCTGGAGCTTGAAGGGTATTGCTGCGTTCTTCTTGAGGAACTTGTAGAATGCCACCACCGTCCTATCAGTATCAACAGTGATCTGCATACAACGGATTAGGAAAATGTCATATGGCCATGCAGGGTGAATGTTCTTTTTTTTAATATCTAACAGCAGCACCCTGGAGGAAATATCACTTACAGGATCAAAGCTCTTGTTTCCTGCTGGAAAGAAGAGGATTGTTGGAAACCCATCAGCCTGAGACATTGAAAGACAATTTCATCCTCAGAATCATATCACATAATAAAAGAGAAAAACCATTTCAATGATACACTGACAGCAAGGATACTGTATGAATTTGACATTTAAACGGCCCAGAATATACTAGAAATTTCAACTAAGATGAATTAGGGAATAACTACCCTAGATAGTGCAACTAAACATCTAGTCACTACTTCAGAAAGAAATTCTAGAGAAGTCCAAAGAAAAATATGCAAACAATAGGTTCTAAACTTATTCATGGTTAAGTGTACTGGAACAAAACCTACATAAGAACTACTCGAGTTATATTTTGCTCAAACTGGGTGTACAGTACTTCTAATCAAGCCTTTTGATCATGTACTGTTGATCATACTTGATATCATATGTGATATTTGGTTAACAATCAACAGCCTTAGCATAAACGAACATGAAAGTCGCACGGTACCTTAGCCCGAGGATGCTCATTTGTGGTTCCATCCATCTTTGCAATGACCAGAGACCCAACACTGCTTAGATGCTTGGCAAGCTTGTTGTAAATTGGTTCCAGAGATTGGCAGTGACCGCACCATGGAGCATATATCTGATCCAAAACCAAATGCAAAAATGTATGGAATAAAAATGAAAAGAGCATGATCTTTTCTACAACCAAATATCAAATGGTATTGGGCAAATATGAAATGTTCACAAACAGCAAGAGAATCACTTACCTCGAGAAGGACATCCTTGGATTCATCCAAGACAATATCATCAAAGTTATTGCCCACGACAATTTTCACATCCCCATCATTCTGCATTCACCAACGGTAGAAGCTCAAATCAGAGACCACAAGGCAAAACAACAGCCACACTGGTGGGATCTATGAACTTACAGTCTCAGGTATTGGGTCTGATTTGTAGAATGGTTTGAGCTTATCTTCGAGGAAACCCTCCGCAAATGCCTGAAATAATGGAATATTGGAATACGTTACAATACATATCCAGAGTTTAAACTGGCCCAAAGATTGAAGGAACACTAGTAAGTTTTCTCTAATAGTAAAAATGTACGTGTATCTTTATCACGTGCGGTGTAACCAACTCCCTAGTATTCACACAGACTCACAATATATATATCTCAAATACAAATAGGTAAAATTTCAAAACTTACAAGAGGGAAAAAAGCATAACTGAGAGCCTCAAATGTAATACAAACACGTGTTTGCGTGCATGCAAGTGTGCATGTCATATGCTATGCAGAGCATGTAGTAAATCCCCAACATTGGCGCATTTGTTCACACACATATACAAACATCCATTCAAGCACGCATACATAAATGCAAGCATTCAAGCAAGCATAACCACGAACATGCATGCACGTGCATGCATGCATACAAGCATCAAGCAAGCACCACCACCAACACACAAGTGCATGCGTGTGAGCACACCCACACACAACACATGCAATACAAATTCATACTCCATCTGCACATATGCCGGTACACATAAACACCGTATTTATGTACAAACCTTAATGCTGTCTACTGTCACTTCACCATCAAGTATGAATTTCTTGGCATCATCGTTTCCTGAGTATGCCAAAACCTGTGCAGAATAAATAAGCAAATGTATGAATTTAAATGATGGGAAATACCGGCTGCCTTATGTAAAAGATAGAACAAACTATAATTATCTCAACACAGCCACATGTTATCCATTGGCAACAAAAAAGGAAGTTTTAAGGGAAAATGCAGAAGTTGAAAGAATACATTAGGACCATCTCCAGTGACACCGAAGTAGTCCGAAACTGGTTTACCAATGTCCTCGTTATCAATCTCCACGTAGACAAAGATAAGCTGCAAGAAGAATAAAATAGAATCAGCTGAGCAAACAGAAATAAAGGATGTAATGGCATGCTATGGTTGAACGAAAGAGAGTTAATCTCATCAAGCTTGTTGACGGAAATATGACAATAAGCAATCCAAAAGAACAGTGTACAGCATATACCCAGAGGAAAGAAAAGAAAACACTTGTAACACAGGTTAGTTACGAAAGAAATTGAAGCCGATGATTACGAAAAAGGGAAGTTACACAAACAAGGCAACATTCTTCGTGGCATAGCAGTAAAATACCTTATGATCTAGTTTAATAACAAAGTTTTTGAATTCATAAGACAACCATTCTTTCACTGGAGAAAATTATGTCTTGGAAAAAGCGTCAACTTTAAGAGACATGAATTTCTATGTAAAGTGATTGGAAATTACATATCAGGCCTTATGACAGAGATTCAGCAACACATCTAGGAAATATCTCATGCTGAAGTTCTTAAGCAATGCTATTCATACCCACTGGATAAGAATCCAGATCACCGACAGCCCCCTCAGTTATTATAGTTCACGAGATTTGGTGCAATTCACAACAGATGAAGCCAACATGTCATAAGAATTGGTAAAGAGATGGATAATGCTAGCTTGATAAGGAAAAGGATTTTCCATTTCACCTAAAGTTATTTTCATCCTTTGAAGTGGAAAGGATGTTTCTATTTTAAAAAGAAAAGATAGCCACACTTAGACGAGAACTGGATTAAAAGATTATGTAGGGATGTGAAGAATATCAGGTAGACAACCATCAATATAAGCTTATCTGACCTAAAAGCATATTCCTTTCATCCCGAATGATAGAAAAATAACAGTAATCTTCATGTCAAATACTCATGACTCATCTGCTACCAAATAATTCATTTGTGTAAAAGTATTGGGTAAATAAGGTAAATCCAACAGTTACCTTTCCCTTAAACAATTTTGCAGCTTCTTGGAAGATTGGCAAAACTTTCTCAGAATCTTTGGAAGTCGCAAAGAGCAAAAGCTGATGAAAGCAAAAGATAAGCGATGAATGAAAAAATAGAATGGAAAATACAAGGAATTAAGAAATGGTTTACCTGTTTTTTAATTGGATTTTCAAAAATGCTTGGAGCGTTTTCCCTAGTAAAGATATTCACTAGAGGAAGCCTGTTGGCAGATACAAACTCAAGTATACCAGATTGAGTGAACTGACTATCTGCACAGAATGTGATTATAAATGTCAATGTAGTATTCTTGCAAGTTTGTCCATAACAAGAGTATCAAAGGTACAAGTTGTAAATAAGCATACCAAAGTGCGACAACTTCTCAGCTTCCTTCTTCAATAACACCAAAGAAGGACGCTTTGATTTTGGATCAATATGGAAAAGCTTTGCCACATCAGGATTGGCAGTTTGATAAAAATTTACACCATCTTCAAGCTTTGAAGCAGCAGCAAGCTCCAGACTGTCAGCACCCTACAGTCAGATAAAGGAAACATGCTTTAGACAAGCTACAAAAGAACAACATTCTTCAAGTTCAACTACATAAAGATAGACATTTAGTCCTGAAGCTGATAATTAAACATGTGGGGTAGCATTTTATTTCTCAATATTGTTGACATAACAAATCAAGATAATACAACTACAAGTTCGCAAATAATCACAAGCCCGCAGACAAACTTGATGAAATACGGTAAATGGTCATGTTCAGGAAAAAAAGGAAACAGAAGCTGTTCTGATTCATTAATAACAAGGATGTCTGTAAGCATGAATTATGAGGGCGTGAAAGAACTTACACCAACACTAATCAGGTAATTCCTGAACAATTCTAGGGAAGTTACAGAAACAGTGCTTGTCCAAGACTAGATCTCCAGTCATATTGAATCTTTTTGAATTCTTTTATCAACTACTATATAACTAAAGACAAACCCATTAGAATTCTATTGCAATCCAACTGCAACCCAACATGAACAGTGTTTTTCGTGGGTCCCTCAGCCGACTCAGCTATCCCTCCACGTCATCCCTACTCACTTCATTCCACCCCCTCCCTCTCTTACATCACACTAATTTTGGGGAAGAAACTAACCCTCACACGATTTTTAGGAAGGAAAAATTCAGATTCAGAATTAAAGAAATACATATCTTGAAATCCCCCCACTCCGTATGCCCACTTTATCTCTCTCTAAACCCATACAAACCTCTACCTCTTCTCTCTTCTCAGATCTGGAGCCGATGGAGCCCTCGCTCTTACCATTTGATCCCTCAATCTCAAATCCGGGGCAAAAAGAAGAGAATGGAGGATAGCGATATGGAAGCAAACATCAATGGAGCCCTCAGCATCACCAGCTCTCTTCGATGGCTTTCCTCTTCCCTCCCCTTCATGTTTCAAGGACTCCCCTCAACCGATCAACTCTTCCTCCCGCCTCACTTTTTCTCCTGAAGAAATAGTAGAAGAAAGCTTTCATCTTTAAAACTATTTGCATTAATGGTAAAAATTCGAGAATTTCCCCCTTCCTGATTTCTCTTTTCAATCTCTAAGTCCTTACCCTCTGAAACTGACATATTTGATGCTGAAAAAACTGAATTGAGACATTTAAATTGTTGTTATAGTTTGTATTTATGCTCATAAACTTTATTTCTGGATTACAAGAATGCACACAGCCCGCTCGACGTTATCGCAGATGAACAACCACTGTGATTTTTCTTCAATTTTTTTGGCCGTTGGAGCACTCCATAACCACTGTTGATGGTAAAATTTAAAAACCTAGAATTTCCCCCTTTCCTAATAGCCTATATTTGCCCAGATTTTCTATTAAATTTATAATATTTTACCTTTAACTTCTGAGGGCCACGCCCCGCTATCGTTGCTTTTCTCTTCAAATTTGCCGCAACTGATGGTACTATTTTTTATCATTTCGCTGATTTAGTTACCGAAATGTGTATGTTTTTTCTTGATGTTATGGGTTCAATACGATGTTTGTGTTTAATTTATTTCTTGCTATTTTGCGTTGAATACATATATATACTTTAAATTATCAGTTTGGATTCTTTGTGATATACTGTAGCTTATGAATTGAGAGCTCAAACATGCATTTGCAACATTTGAAACCCTAAATTTTCCCCTTATTGAATTCACTGTTCGGTGTCACCTCCAAGTCCTAAAGCTCTGAACCTATTTTATACATAAAAAAACTTGAACAAGGACACTAATCCGTCCATCGGACGGGATAAACACTAGTAAAGTCCTATTGTGCATCGCAGATGATAACAAGGGCCAAACTTTTCTATTAAAAATATATATACAAGGTGGCTCCATGCAATCTCTGAATATAAGGAAAATTCTTCAATAGTTGTGACCAAATTTATCGATAGCGGATAGAGTCGCATAGCGATGAGACACCGCTAAGTCTATTTGGGGATATTACGGCAAAAGCACAAAGCCAAAAATAGTATAATTTAAATGTACAAATATTTTTAAATTTTTTTAAAAAAAATCTAAAATGCATATTTGATAATTTAAAGAGATCCTAAGCACAAAATAGACATGTAACTATCACATAATATCGAAGAGGATTAGAGGAGTCGAAGAGTCGTCGTCTTCAAGAAGATGAGGTGAGTGGTCAGAGACTGCAATTAGAGGAGCTTACAACGAGAGGAGGTGTTGTGGTGATGAGAGGTGTTGAGGGAAGTGTCAGAGACTGGGAGGCGGTGGGAGGCAGCAGGGAGATGCCGAATGTCGTGGGAGGAGACAAGATGCGGTGGGAGGCGGCGGGATTTTTGGGGGCCATTGTTTTTTCAGAGTTGGATCGTGACAGAGACTCAAGAGAGAAAGAACCACGATTAATAATGATTTAAACATCGGGTTTTGCAGGTGCTGGTCAGATTGAATTAAAAAACCTAAAACCACATTTTTATATTGGTCAAAAAGCGGATTTTACCCGCAATCGCCTGCTATTCACCGCTATGACGCACTATTAGCCGCTTTTGCGAGGGGAAAGCGCATATTCCACAATATTGCACCGATATTGAGCGATATCGTTGCGGAAGGGAACCCCTAATGCGATTAGAGCCGCTATTGTGGCGCTATTTGCCGCTATGTATAGTTGTGGTTGTGACATGCTTGAAGTTGTGACCTCCTTAACAAGTCAAATACCTTGATGTCTTCTCAAGTTCCTCTTCTACCTTCAAAGAGGAAATTAAGGAGAGTTGTTAAGGCTTATGAATTGTGATAAGGAGGTCAAAGTAGAAGAGATGCCATAAGCAACAAAGTGAGAGGAACTTTCTTCCTTATATTGGCAGGGAGTAGAAGGAAACAAACTTATGTCCAAACGATAAAGAACTTTTCAAACTTACTCAGTTCTTCTTGAAAGGAGGAGGGAAATATTACCAGTGATGAAGTTTTAAGTTTAAATAAGATTAAACTACTTTCGTAAGACAAACACAGATTATTCATATTAACGATAAAATCCGATCTTTGGATAAAGAGTTTGCTAAAACAATGTCACATATTTAAGGTGCACATAAAAAGAAAGGCAAGAATTACCACTAGAGAGTCAAAAAATCCCAAAACAAGAGTGTTTTCAGCAGTCAGGATCTTCTCTGCTTCCTCAGTTGTTGTTACATTCTCTACTGCAGGTCCAATCTTCTTCTTGATCCAGGTCACAATAGCATCTCTGCATACAAAAATGTAAGGATTAGCAGATATATGTAGCTAGCATCTAATCTGAAGGGATCAAAGACAGAAACAAACAGTGCAATATGAGAAAACAGAAGTAACATACTCTTCTAGATACACGGTGCGCATCCCTCTGGGGAAATTTTCAAGTAACTTATATGATAACTAATATGCCTACCAATTACTATGACTACTTTGTGCTCACATATTCATGAACTTACTAGAAGAAACAAGAGAAAGATTGTTTGGAAACCACTAGCAACCATACATGCAATTACAAAAACATAAAAATCAAGCAGATACTCAAACTCCCACCCAATTTTTGAGAAGCCATTCATATGGTGCGTGAATCCATGTGGAAAAGCTTCTCTTTTTCCGTCTTAAACATCAATGCTATATGCAAAATTAATCAGCTAGAGACACTAGAAACAGTCAAATTCCCTACTTACTTACCAACACATAGAGTCAATATCAAGAGACAATTTGCAAAAAGAAGTAACAAAGAACTTCAAACTGAACAATAGAAATCATAGGCTGAAGTAGATTGAGAAATAAAAAGATGAGATCTGAGGTCCTCACTTAGTCCTGTGGCCTGGATAAGGCCTGTGAACCCCATCCACAAAGAAAACCACAGTTGGAAACCCTTGGACGTCGTACTTCTGCGCGAGATCGTTCTCCTCCGTTGCGTCCACCTTCGCCAGAGCCACGTCCTCGTCCTTGAGCTCCGTCGCCGCTGCCGCGTACTGAGGAGCCAAAGCCTGGCAGTGACCGCACCACGGAGCGTAGAACTCCACCATCACGTGCCGATTCTTCTCGACGAACTCAGTGAAGTTCCCCTCGGATAGAACCACGACGTCCTTCTCATCGATCTCCGGCGCTGGTGGCTCTTCTCCTCCGTACGATTCGGGGTCGAAACCCTCGAACTCGTCGGAATCAAAGTCCCCGACATCGGTGTCGCCGTGGTCGGTTTCATGGGGGAAAGAATGAGAGGCAGAAGAGGAGTCGTCGTCGGAGTCTTCGAGGAAACTGAGGTCGTCGTCGAGGTCGATATCCTCAGTCTCTTTCTTCGAATTAGAGGCGGCAACGGCGAAGTTGACTGCGAGGATCGAGGAGAGCAGAAGGAAGAGGAGAAGCGATCTAGTCGCCATTGATCTAATCAAGCCTCAGTTTCCGCTCGCTACTCCCTCTCTCTCGAAGTCCAAGTCTTTTGACCACCTCTCTCGTCTAGCGAAAGAAATTAGGGATCGTGACTTAGATCTGGCGTTGATAAAATTACATCCGTGTCCCAGCAGGGATGGGGTCCACGTGATGGCTGACTGGGCGTTTGTGCGGGTTTTGTAGCGCGGGTGTAAAAAGAGGAGGAGGGTATATGACGCGAAGACAACATTTACAACGAATGGTTTATCGCCACGTGGCCGGGGATGTTCCCGTTATGCTCGGGACGTTGGAACCGACCGGCGAAATGAACGCTTTTGTAAAGGGTCCGCCATCACTACGGATTGGCGGATTTCGAACTTCAGTTTCACAAAAAAAAAACATAATTTGGGGCCCATGGAACACCCCTGAACCCCGAATTGGGATCCTCTACTCATGCATAGTGCATCCTAATATTTGCTAATGTATCTTCACTTTTTATTTTGTAAACAAATACAAAGTGAAAGGTGAAGATGCATTAGCAAATATTAGGGGACACTATGCATGAGTAGAGGATCCCAATCCCTGAACCAAAAAAAAAACAACCTAAAACTTCCCCTCGAATCGAATGCTAAATGTGTTGACGTTTGTATTTGTTTAAAATTATTGAATTGGAATGCGAACCCTAGTATTCATATCTAGAGTTTTTTTAACTTAAACTCGAATAATTGATATTTAATAAATATTCATGAATATTTACGAACACTTATCAAATATCAAAGTATAGTTATTTCACAACAGAGTTTGATTTTTAAATAGTAATGAAATTCATAAATAAAGATTTTTTCCCTTTATAATATATGATGTATATATAATTAAATCAAAATCTCCCTTAGGAAACATGTTTAAGATTGTTTAAGTCTAAAAATTAGTACACAAAACTTAAGTAGTAAATAGTAAGTGGGATAAAATTATGACAGCATATGAGAAATGTTGTATCACAGAAATAATTAAGTGTTTATCTCACTCTAGAAGTCGGCACACGTCCCGAGTTAACTATGCACAAAATTGACTCGGCCCTATACAGTATGAGTCAAATAACGTCATCACTCGACCCTTCCCAAGAAAGATCGGGTTGAAAGACGTCCTTACTCGGACTCTGCTGTTAAGGTCGACTCTACGCATCTTCATTTTCTAAGATCAAGTAGAAAAGCTCTTAATCCTGAATGGTCGACTCAGAAGGCGTTTTTTATCGAACATCACGCAAAGCCGAGACGAAATGCAGTCATTCTCGAACCTCTCACCGACAGCCAATCATCATCACATTAAATAAAAGGTCGGAGTCATCATTACATGTGCCTCGAAAAAGCCTTAATGACTCATCGGACCTCATGAGCACCTTACTTCCTGTGACGTGGGAGGCAGAGTCACATGGGGGACTACACCCACGCATCTGCACAAGATCCAGCGGATCTTTTTGTGAGACATCCACTGCACAAGATCGGATCCAGCGGATGTTTTGTGAGGCCACACCAATGACGCGTTTTCCCAGTCAGCCTATAAATACCTAGTTTAATCGTTCCTAGGGTTTTGTGCAAGTACGAGTAGAGGGGGGAAATCAGGAGCTTTTGTTCTCTCTTTTTGGACAGCGTGCAAAGGTAGAGGGATTTGTGCTAGGGTGGGGTGCAAGGGAAATCGCAGAGGAGAAATTTCTTGTGGATGTGTGCAGGCGTACCACAGAGAGAAAAAGATTTTGGAGGCTGACTTTTGAGAAGAAAAGCAAGGAGTTATTTGAAGATTTAATTTGTGAGAGTTGTGTGATTATAAACCCTATTTGTATTCCTTTTCTCTCTAATAGTAGATGTCCCCCCTCCTTGCCCCGTGAATGTAGGCAAATTGTCGAACCACGTTAAAATTGATTGTTTGTGCCGTGATTTGTAATAGAGAGTTTAGGTTCCCTCGATAGGTCAGTCCTAGAACTGATGAGAGAAAGAGCTGATATCTCACTTTGTTAAAATATTTTACTTTCGGTTCTTGTTTCCTTTGTAAAACAGAGATTTAGTTGAGATCTACTCTCTTGTCGAGCACCAGAGGTGATGCCGAAATTTTCGCTGCGCACAACAAGTGGTATCAGAGCTCGAGCTATGCTTGGGCAATTTGGAGGAGTAGATCGCTTTGGAAGCTCGTCTAGGGTTTCGATTGGAGTTAAAGGTGAGATCTTTTTGATAAAGGCTCTATCTTTCTCAAGTTTGGATCTATTCTTCAGTTTGTTCCGCATTGGTTATTGGTGTGTTGAGGAATATGGTCAAGAAAGAAGGTGTTGAGGGTGGTGCTTCTGGTGTGAAGACCATTCAAAGTTTGAATATCCATTCTACGAAAAAGATATGGAGAAATTTAATGGCACGAATAACTTTAGACTTTGGCGATGCGAAGTTTTGGATGCGCTGAACGTGCAAAATTTGGAAGACACTCTGGAGTTGGATGGCAAGCCAGATGATATTAAAGAGAAGGTTTGGAAGTAGATGATCGGACGACGTGTGGTGTTATTAGGTCTTGTTTAACACAAGATTTGAAGTATGATGTGATGAATGAGACTTCTGCAAAGAAGATTTAGAGACCCTTGAGAGTAAGTATTTGACCAAGAGTGTGAAAAATCGTTTGCATTTGAAGAGGATGTTTTATCGCTTTCAATTGAAGAAGGGAACCTCCATTAGTGATCACATGAATCACTACACGAAGCTTCTCGTGGATTTGGTGAATGTGGATGTTATGCTTGAAGATGAGGACAAGGTGTTATTGTTGTTGAGTTCCTTGCCTGATGAGGAATACGAGACCTTTGTTCTTACCCTAATTAATAAGAATACGTCCCTTTCGTATAGTGAGGTTACTGTTGTACTTGTGAACTATCAGCTTCAAAAGAAGGATAAGGAGACTTCAATTGAGTCAGTAGCGGAGGCATTGGTCGTAAGAGTGAAGAATCCAAACCGAAAGAATTGGAAGTCACAGTCTAGAGTAGAGCATCCTACAGTTGGAAAAGATCAGTGTATTTGGTACAAGGAGACTGATCATTGGAAGAAAGATTGTCCAAAGCTCGACAAATGGATGAAGAATAAGCAGAAGGGAAAAGGTGTTTGCGTCAAGAACAAGTTCTGTTGTAGAATTCATTATAACTGTTTATCGATTACAATGAATGCAAAAGAGTAAGCTTCGTACTTTGTAAAACTACTCTTTACAACAAAAATTAAATTACAAGCTCCTTAGAAACAAACGCAAGATCGTTGTTTGGATCGCTGCTTGCGTGGGATCTTTGCTTGTGCCGGGGGTGCGTTAGCCCGTGGACCACCGATTCACAGATTCTGATTGAATCGTGAAGGTTTTGGAAATTCTTCTTTCATTTATCGAAGTAAGAATCTTTAAGTGAATATCTTATCGATGTAAGATGTTCACTCTTCCAAAGATCAAGTCAGAGCTTAGATCTATAGGAATCGTCAAAAGCTTCTTGAATGTGTTTATGAAGAATCAAGACTCTCTCTTTTTGCTCCAAATCACCAAAAGCTCAAGTCTCTCTGCTCCAATCTGCTCCCTCCCTTTGTTTCGTGTCTAGGGAAGTATTTATAGGGATAGGAGTGCACAGCAGCGAAAATGGGGGGCGAAATAACTGATTAATTGGATGCTCTTTGGGCGCGTCAGTCCACACTGCCGCGGCTATTGGCGCGCCAGTGTGGACTGGCGCGCGGCTATTGGCGCGTCAGTGTGGACTGGTGCGGCCAAAGAGGCCGTTACAGCCATGTTCTCATCGTGTTTGAAACTGTCTTCCCACGACTTTTAACCACTTTTTTCGTGGTTTAACCGCCTGTCCACATCAGCACATATTTTTTTCTGATATGCTGCCACGTGGACCTTGAAAATCATCGTATAACTGCTTTTTTTAACCACCGCGGCAGCTCCCTGTAGTTTGCACGTCACCATGGACTGACGCGTAATAGGCACGCCACAATAGGCTGCCGCGCCTTAGGCGCGTCACCATGGACTGTCTAGGCTGCCGCGCCTATAGCGCGTCACCACAGACTGCGGCGCCTATGACGCGTGTTTTTTTTCTGATATGTCACCACGTGGACCTTGAAAATCATCATATAACTGCTTTTTTTAACCACCGCGGCAGCTCCCTGTAGTTTGCACGTCACCATGGACTGACGCGCAATAGGCACGCCACCATAGGCTATCGCGCCTTAGGCGCGTCACCATGGACTGCCGCGCCTTAGGCGCGTCACCCTAGGCTGCCGCACCTATGGTGTGTCACCACAGACTGCGGTGCCTATGGCGCGTCACCACAGGCTGCCGTGCCTATGGCGCGTCACCATAGGCTGGCGTGCCTATATGTGTCACCTGTCAGTGTGTTTTGTCACATGCATGCACATTGTATCTATGAGCATTTTTTGACGCCTACAGATACCCCCTCTAAAGTATCTCAGACTCGTTCATTTATAGAAGAGTCTGGGACACTTTGGATAAGATAGGTTTTACTTGTAATCCCTTCAGTATTCAGTTGAAGAAATTGCGTAGAATGGTCTATGAATGGCTTCAATTCCTGACTTCTTCATCTTTTAGTCTATTCAGTGCTTTGTAGAATAGCTAAAATTCTTCCGGTGCTGCGTTTATCGTGTGGCCATTGTCGAAGTCTTGAATTAGAGCTGGTGTTGAAGAATGGAGGAATAGTTTATATTCATATATCCTATCGGAGTGTTCGGGAAATAGTTTAACCTCATATACCCGTTGGGAGGTAATCAGGTTATCCCTAAGAATATTCTGAGTGATATTCTCCAGAAACTTCCTGTTGAGGGTAGGGAAACAGTTTAGACTCGTGTACCTATTGAAGTATCTTGGTCTCTTTTTTGTTGGTAGAGATGAACCGAAATCGGAGAGGAAGAATTTTATATTCTATCTCCTGGTCTCTTGTTTGTTGGTAGAGATAAACCCAAAATCAGAGAGGAAGAATTTTATATTCTATCTCTTGGTCTCTTGTTTGTTGGTAGAGATAAACCCAAAATTGGAGAGAAAGAATTTTATATTCTATCTCCTGGTCTCTTATTTGTTGGTAG